AGCCCCGGGGATAGGTGCCAGGTGAGCCCCGGGGATGGGCGCCAGGTGAGCCCCGGGAGTGGGCGCCAGGTGAGCCCCGGGGATGGGTGCCAGGTGAGCCCCGGGGATGGGCGCCAGGTGAGCCCCGGGGGTGGGCGCCAGGTGAGCCCCGGGGGTGGGCGCCAGGTGAGCCCTGGGGATGGGTCCCAGGTGAGCCCCCGGAGGTGGATGCCAGGTGAGCCCCGGGGATGGGCGCCAGGTGAGCCCCGGGGGTGGGCACCAGGTGAGCCCCTGGGGGTGGATGCCAGGTGAGCCCCGGGGGTGGGCGCCAGGTGAGCCCCAGGACGGGTGTGAGAGAAGAAGGCCCGGGACTGCCTGGGACAGGCGGGTGCTGCCTTCCCCGTGCAGCCTCCTCTGTTTCCCTCCCAGAGATCCGGCTGTGCAGGCCCGGCCTCTCCTCTCCCACCTCCCAGGGCTGCTGCTGGGCTGTGGCAGGGACGCAGTGTCTCACCTGGTGGTCTGTCCCGAGAGGGGCATCTGGGAGCTGCTGGGCGGTGATGGGCGCCTCCACCCACCGGTCACACCGCCTCCCACAGATGGGGCCCCCGCCCGCCTGCTGCCCACGGCTCGGCCGGCGCCCAGGCCCAGGCTCAGACCGGCTCTTTGCTTTGCAGACTACATGCTGGGGGACCCCCAGAATGGGGAGCAGCCGAGGCGGAGCTGCACCATCTACCGGCCGTGGTTCTCCCCTTACAGCTACTTCGTGTGCGTGGACAAGGAGAGCCCCCGGGAGGCCCACGGCTTCCCCGAGCTGCCGCGGGACGAGGGCCGGGGCGACAGCTGCCTCCCCGAGGACGCGGCCGACAGCCTGCGCTCGTCCTCCTCCTCCCCCGACGCCCCCAGCCCCCGCGAGGCCAAGGCCCGGCCCGGGGACGCCGGCCACATCAGCTCCCAGGACATCCTGAGGGCCTCGCGGGGGCTGCCGGCCCAGCACAACGGCTTCAAGTGTGCGGCCTGCTGCCGCATGTACCCCACGCTGTGCTCCCTCAAGAGCCACCTCAAGTGCGGCTTCCGGGAGGGCTTCAGCTGCCACATCTTCTACCGCAAGCTCAAGGCGCTGTGGGCCCGGCCCGCCGACCGGCTGCCTCTGGGCGGCGGCCCCGCCCGCAAGTAGCGGGCGGCCGGGCCCGAGCCCGCGGCTCCGGGAGAGGCCAATAAACCCCTTAGCACAGCCCCTGCAGTCCGTCCGGCACCGCCGCTCCCGCCCATCCCGCCCAGTCCGTCCCCTTTGGCTGCCAGGTGCCTAGCAACCCAGGCCCACACCGGGCCGGACAGCACCAGGGCTGGGGGGCCGCCGAGAGGGAGCTGCGCCCGGGGCTTCGGCCTGAGCACAGGTGCTGCCCTGGCGCACTGTGTGGTCTCCGGCGCCTGGGACGCGGAAGGTGTGCCAGCAAGCCCCGCCCGGCCGCTCCGCTCCTCTCTGCTCTGCAGGGCGTCTCAGAAAGAGGTCTCCCCACTCCTCACCAGCACCCGCCACGCCCGACTCAGGCCACCCCACCTGAGCCCCTGACTTCCCCGCAGACCTGGGCCCCACCAGGTCCCCCTACCGGCCTCTGCCCTCCACGCGGATGAGCCTGCCGACTAAAGCCTGGCTTCTCGGCTGCCCACTTGCCCAGCCGCTGTCCCTTCCCTTCCCGCTGTCCCTTCCCTCTGTCCCTTCCCGCCCACTGTCCCTTCCTGCCGCTGTCCCTTCCCACTGTCCCTTCCCGCTGTCCCTTCCCTTCCCGCTGTCCCTTCCCGCTGTCCCTTCCCTCCCGCTGTCCCTTCCCACTGTCCCTTCCCGCTGTCCCTTCCCTCCCGCTGTCCCTTCCCACTGTCCCTTCCCGCTGTCCCTTCCCTCCTGCTGTCCCTTCCCCCTGTCCCTTCCCTTCCCGCTGTCCCTTCCCGCTGTCCCTTCCCGCTGTCCCTTCCCGCTGTCCCTTCCTGCCGCTGTCCCTTCCCGCTGTCCCTTCCCGCTGTCCCTTCCCACTGTCCCTTCCCGCTGTCCCTTCCCTCCTGCTGTCCCTTCCCTCTGTCCCTTCCCTTCCCGCTGTCCCTTCCCGCTGTCCCTTCCCGCTGTCCCTTCCCGCTGTCCCTTCCTGCCGCTGTCCCTTCCCGCTGTCCCTTCCCGCTGTCCCTTCCCGCTGTCCCTTCCCGCTGTCCCTTCCCTCCTGCTGTCCCTTCCCCCTGTCCCTTCCCGCTGTCCCTTCCCGCTGTCCCTTCCCGCTGTCCCTTCCCGCTGTCCCTTCCCGCTGTCCCTTCCCGCTGTCCCTTCCCGCTGTCCCTTCCCTCCCGCTGTCCCTTCCCGCTGTCCCTTCCCTCCCGCTGTCCCTTCCCTCCCGCTGTCCCTTCCCACTGTCCCTTCCCGCTGTCCCTTCCCGCTGTCCCTTCCTGCCGCTGTCCCTTCCCTCAGTCCCTTCCCGCTGTCCCTTCCCTCTGTCCCTTCCCGCTGTCCCTTCCCGCTGTCCCTTCCCTCCCGCTGTCCCTTCCCTCCCGCTGTCCCTTCCCACTGTCCCTTCCCGCTGTCCCTTCCCGCTGTCCCTTCCTGCCGCTGTCCCTTCCCTCAGTCCCTTCCCGCTGTCCCTTCCCGCTGTCCCTTCCCGCTGTCCCTTCCCGCTGTCCCTTCCCGCTGTCCCTTCCCGCTGTCCCTTCCCTCCCGCTGTCCCTTCCCACTGTCCCTTCCCGCTGTCCCTTCCCTCCCGCTGTCCCTTCCCACTGTCCCTCCCACTGTCCCTTCCCGCTGTCCCTTCCTGCTGTCCCTTCCCTCCTGCTGTCCCTTCCTGCCGTCCCTTCCCGCTGTCCCTTCCCTCCCGCCCTCCACAGTCCTCACTGGGCAGCTGGCGTGGCCCCGGAGCAGACTCTCTAAGATGCACCCACTCAGAACCCACCTGACCCACACGAGACAACTAGTCAGGGACCTGCTGGGCTGCTGTCGCCTGGTGGTCTCAGTGTTACCTCCAACGGCTGACGTCCAGCTTTCCCCAGCACTCACCCTGGCTGCCCCCCCCCCCCGCCCCGGCCAACACCCTCCCAAGCTGCCAGACAGCCCGACAGGGACACGGTCCCCTGGGGAAGCAAAGCTGACTGGGTGAGCATGCAGGCCGGTCTGTGTCCACACAACCATGTCACGTAACTCCCCTCGAACCTCAGCCGAGGGAGTGTCACGGGGGAGGGCAGGGCAGAGGACAGAGCAAGAGGACGACAGGAGAGCGTTGAGAAGTAAGAAGGTTTATTAGTGGAGCCGCAGGCGAGCGGCGGCCCCCGAGTAAGTGCACTTACAGGAAGAAACGTCTGGAGCGCAGGCCCAGCCACCCACACGGCCGTGGGGGGGACAGGAGGGGAGCCAGGCGGAGTGGGAAAGACCCGCGCACAGGAGCAGCGGAGAGAAGCAGGCGCCAAGGGCGGTGTGGGGCCCTGCGGGGAGTGCTGTCTGTCCGTCCGCATTGCAGGCCTCGTGAGCTGGACCCCCAGGCCGGTGCCCATGTCCACTCGTCCTCCACGCGGGGCCGAGCAGGATGGAGGGCAGGGCGGGAGGACAGGGCCGGCCCTCCATCGCCCAAGTCCCCCTCCGCCCGGTGCTGCCGCCTGGAGAGGGCAGGGTGGCGGCCTCGGTCCCAGGGCACTCGGAGGGCAGGGGTGGTGGTCCAGCAGGACCAGGGAGCAGTGCCCCCAATGCCGTCCCCTCCACGGCTCCGCAGGGTCCTCTTACAAACTGTTCCCTCACCCATCACGTCCAACGGCCACCTCGTCACCCACCGGCCTCAGAGCCGGGCCTGCCCCGAGCTCGGCTCTGGATGGGAGAGGACGGCGCCCGGAGCCCCCGTGCCCATGCCCTCCCTCCGGTGCCAGGTCGCACACCCTTGCTCCCTCCGCCCTGAGGCCCGCCTGCCTCCACTGTGAACTGTGAACTGGAAGAGGGAGCAAACACAAGCCACCCTCTCGACCAGGGCACACGCTGGACACCTGTCCTCTCCTGTCTGTCATCACACGCAGACACGCACCCTTCCTCCCACACGTGAACACGCACACGCACACACCTGCCGACAGGGCGCGCCACAGGCTGACGGCATCCTGCCGGGTCCAGCCGCCCCGATGCCCGTGAACCCTCCGCCCTGACGGCCCTCGGGCAGCACAGGAGCCTCCCCGCCGGCAGCCAGCAGTCGCGTGGGCGCCGGTGGCTCAGGCGGGAGGACTGCCCGGCTGCTCGGGCCCGGCCCACGGAGACGAGGCAGGGCTCTTGGCGAGCGGCAGTGATTCGGACCTTGGACATAGCAGGTCAGCTACCAGCCTGTGGCGGCCTTTTGCAGTAAGAACCGACCACCACTGTCCAACGGAGGGACCAGCGGAGGGTGGGAGGGCTCAGAGGACAGGGACAGCCTCTGCCCCGGTGGACGGCTCCCTCACAGGGCGTGGGCAGAGGGTGACGTGGCAGCAGAGGCCACACCGTCTCCTGGGAAACACTCAGCTGGCGCAGCGGACAGCGCCCGGGAGCAGGCCCCTCTCCAGCCTGGCTCGGCACGCCCCAGCTCAGCACCCCACCTGCAGGGCACCCGCTCCGGGGCGGCGCTCAGACACCGCCTCCCTCCCACCGACCACGGAGGCCTCAGACAGGGAGGAGCCGCGGGCCTGGACGGTCCCAAAGCCGCGACGTCGCAGCCGCCCTGGCGGGCAGCCATCCCCTCGGGGCTCCATGGCTTCCTCTTCACCCTCTGGAGCAAAACCCGGTGCTCTGCCTCAGCACCGGCTGCGGCCAGGGCCGCCGCCCTACACGGCGGCCGTGTCCTCCAGGCTGTCGCCCGGCTCCGGGCGCGGCCGCACGTGCAGCAGGCGCGGCGGCTCCTCCTCGCTCTCGTCCGTGGTGGACTCGTACTCGGAGGCGATGCCCGACTCCCGGAAGCGCAGCAGCTCCAGGCCACCCAGCGGCGGGCCCCGCGCCCCCGGCAGCCGGAAGCACTCCAGCTTCACCAAGCAGTCGCGCCTACCTAAGGGGCTGCCTGCAGGCAGGGCCGGGCAGGCTCCCAGGGGTGGCGAAGGCAGGTCCTCTGGAGTGGGGGTCGTGGGGTCGCAGAGCACGGGCAGGGCTCCGGGGCGGAAGGTGATCTCCAGCAGGCTGTCCTGGGAGCCCACTGCGGACAGAGGGTGAGGGTCAGGCACGCCCCCAGCCCGTCCGCCCACAGCCAACGCCAGGCTGCAGGGGAGGAGCCCTGGGGGTTGGTGCCGGGAAAGGGGGGCCTGGGATCAGACTAACCACCTTGGGGGGGGGGGGGCGCTCAAGGGACAAAAATAAAAACCCAGAGGCTCCGGCCAGGGCTCTGGGCTGCACACGCAGAGCCAGCCTGCAGCCTGCAGCCCACCACAGGGGCCTGGGAGGCGTGGTTTCAGGAAGCCACGGAAGTCTGGGGGACTTGGGGTCACAGGAAAAGCACTAGTTTTGCAATTAGACCGGGTTTGACCTGGCTCCACACCTCTCGTCCCCAACCTGCTGAACCACAGCCTCGTCTCTGAGCTGGACACATGGAGCGGGCAGCCCCAGGGGCCAAGGGCGTCGTGTGGCTGCGACTCCCGGTCTGGCCCGGAGACCGCTGGGCACGGAGGCCGGTGCCAGGCACAGGTCCACCCAGCGGCGCCTCCGCCTCTCTCGGTGCTCAGGAGGGAAAGCCAGGGAGACCAGCGAGCCACGCCAGACAGCCTGTCCCCGGAGTGTGTGTGTGCTGGCGGGGGGGGGGGGGGGGGGGGGGGGGGGGGGGCCTGGGTGGAGAGCTGAGGGCCCAGGGAGGCAGGAGTCATGCTGGTGATGGTGATGGTGACGTGACGGGCAGCCTGGGCACTGGGCCAGAACAGCCAGGACCCGGCGGGCCCTGTGTGTGCCAGTCCCCCGTGTGGACCTTGGGTTTCTGCTGGAATGCCAAGCAGGTCGGCACCGCCAAGAGCTTTTGGGAAAGAGCTTGTGGTGGCCCAGCCCAGGCAGCGAGGGGCCGGCAGACGGGCCTGACTTACTGGTGGTCTGTCCTGACAGCTTCAGCTCCAGCTCCTGCACCTGCCTGACCAGCAGGGACACGTGCTGCAGGGCGTCCCTGTTCTGCAGCAGGAGCTGGTGCACGCGGGCCTGCGCCTCCAGCCTCGCCGCCGCCTCCGCCGCCAGCTGGTCCTTCAGCAAGTGAACCTGAAGCGGAAGCAGAGAAGAGGGTGGAGAAGAGAGGAGCTGAGAGGACACGACCTCCACATTCAACCCTGGATAAAGCAGCACCTGGGCTTGTAATCCGGATGTTTCCAAGAACCTGCACGCTGACCGCCAGCTCACAGCAGTCACACCCGACACACCGAGTAGCTGCGGCCCCTGCGGCCCTTTCAAAACGGTGAGGTGCCCCAACCACGTCTGTCTTCCCGCCTGTGGGTCAGCTCCGTCCCTGACCGTCCACCCCTTTTTATGTCTGTGGCCCCAGGACGGGCCAGCTGCCTGCATGTCCCGGGCGGCTCTTAGAGAACTCAGGGGGACACACTGAGCGGAAGGAGCCCGAGGAAATGGAGCCCCAGGCAGGAGGACGCTCACACAGGTGGCCTGTGCCCAGGACATGAAGGGGTCGCTGCGGGGGGGGGGGGGGGTCGTGGATGTGGCAGCCGTGGGCCGGGTGCAGAGAAAGACCTGCATGAGGGACAGGGGCGCTAGGGCAGTGGGAAAGGGTCCGGGGAGCTGGCGGGAAGGCTCTGCATTTCTGAAGAGCAGTTTGAGCCAGAATAACCTATGTTTCTCCAAGAGCAAAGATGGCAGCCCCCTACCCCCTTTCCCCGCCCCCGCCATCCAATCTGAACGAGGGCCAGCAGCCACAGCCTGTCCCCAGGGCAGCACGCAGACCCCGAGTGGGGCCGCCTCGCTCCTGCAGATTTCAGCCAGGCCCTTGCTTCTAAGTGGAGCCACTAAGGTGATCAGCAGCCACTTCCCATTCCTGGCTCCCACGGGGCCTCCCTGGGCCAGGAGGGGCCGGGGAAGCAGGGAGCCTGGGCCTCTGAAGTAAATCTGCCGTCCTCAAGGCCTCAGCTGACTCCCGTGACCGTGAACCGTGGTCAGGGCAGACAACTGTAAGGCTTTATCTCCCTTGCAAATGGAGGCACAGAGGTAAGTCCCCAAACCTGCTGGTCCCGAGGAACAGGAAGGGGGCTGTGGGAGGGACAGGGGACACTACCTGCAAGTGGCTGCTGTGGGGAGAGGGGCCTGCTGAGCAGACAGAGTCTAGGCTCTTCAGGAAAAAACGGAAGTGTGAGACGCAACTTTCCGTGCACAAAGCACAGCATCCTACCCACTGAGCCCGCCCCCGGGCTCCCTGCACCTGAACCCCAGCACGGAGAGCCGGCCAGCGGCGGCCTCTGGCTCCCGCAGGAGACGCACCTCCCCTGCAGCTCACTGTCTCCATCTCCGTCTCCCAGCCCAGAGGCTGCCGGCGGCTCCGCCGGCCCGTGGCCCACCCCAGGTGGAAGGGCCGGAGGCCGGTGGCCGGGCCCGGGAAAATGCAGCTTCTGCAGGTGGCCGCGCTCCGGCGGGCACAGCACACAGGGTGAAGTGAGCACTGTGGCTCTCGAACGCGGGGACACCCAGGGGTCCCCAGCCCTGGGGCCTGAACACGCAGCTGCCTGTCGGGAACCGGTGGGAGCCGGTGGGAGCACACGGGACAGGCTCAGCCCCGCCATGGCCCCAACTCTGACCCCGGCAGCCGGCGGGCCTGGAAGCACTGCAGAGGTGCGCTCGGTCCCACACCCGCCCTGCACTTGCCTCAGCCCTTTCCCTTCGGAAGGCTGAGCCTGGCACAAGCGAGCGTGTCTCCCGGCCAGGCCGCGGCCTCCGGTGGCCATGGCTCCGGCACAGAGCACTGGGCAGGCCCCTGATGCAGCTCCCGGAACGCTCCCACCCTCAGCCCACCCAGCGCCAGACCACTGCCCACTTGCCTGGACTCCAGCTGCTCCGGCAGAAGTGGGGACAGGGCCAGGCTGGAGTTGGGGAGACAGGCCTGGGAATGGCTGTTGGCCCCCACCCCAGACAAACGGGCAGAGGCCGGCGAATCAGCATGCAAGGGGGCAGGCAAGGCGCTTGGCGGGGAGCAGCCACGCACGGAGGCAGAGGGCTCAGCCCCTCGGCTCTAACCACCACAGCGCAGGCCTCTGCGAGCCTGGGACCACACTGTTCCACCAAGCGCAGGACGGGTCTCAGGCAGCGACACGGAGCAGGATAGTAGTCTCCTCGGAGCTCACCAGGAGCCGGCCTCCAGGAAGGCGGCGGCTGACCCCCTGCAGCCAGGCGCCAGGCCCAGAGCACTGGGAGCAGGTGGGCCCAGCCCATGGCCATGCAGGTGTCCCCCCAACCCCCACCCCCCATCACAGCCTTGCCTGACTGGTTCATCGAAAAGCAGGAGCTAGGGCAGCCAGGCGAGCCTCATGCTGGGTGGGGAAGGTGGGCAGAGGGGCTTGTGTCCACGAGGGACACAGGTCTGACCTGGAAGGGTGACAGGGCGCGCCACCTGTGCCCAGGGCCTCCCAGCCATGCGGCCTTCCGACCCAGCTTGGGGCCAATTCGGGGAGTGGCCGAGGCTGAGTCTGAGACCAAGCTGTGACCACTGGGAGGAGGCCACCGCCGGTGACAAGAGCGGAGCTGGGCTTGCCTTGAGGGCGAGGGGGTGGGGGGTAAATAACAAGGGCCCCGGGGTGGGCGGCACTTGTTTGCGAGAAAGTGTCTCTATCACAGGCTCTTCAGGGTCTCGTGGAGGCCCGGCGCGCCATCTGAAGTGGGTGGCCACGCACACCCTCTCGGCTGCTAGTCTCAGACCAGACCCCCGCGCGGGGCAGCAGTGTTGGTGGCAGGCTGCCGGTGCAGACCCGGCGCAGTGGGTCCATCTGCTTGAAGGCGCGGGGGATGCCAGGAGGCCGTCTATGAACCCGCGTGCCTTACACAACAGCTTCACCCACAAGCCGGGCCGGCCGAGCCCGGGAGACTACAGGCGCGGGCGGTGCCCCGACACTGCCCTCTGCTGCCGATGGCAGGTGAAATGGCTCCTCGTCAGTCTCAGCAGGCTGCGGGTCAGGCCCATCTGACAACACGCACGGGACGTGCCCACGCCCACGCTTGGTAAATGACCACCACTCGGCAGCGGATGTGCTGAGTGACTCGTGTTCCCGGAGCTTCTGGAGGTGAGTGGCGGGCGGCCGGGCCCAGGCTGTGCTGACGGCACTCCCAGCAAAGGCTTCTGTCGCCGGCAGCACGCTGTGTTCCCGGATGCACGCGTGGCCCTGTCTGCGCACCCAACACTCAAGCCTGGGCAGCAGCCTCTTCCTTCCTGTGGGCGCTTCAGGCAGCACCATGTGGGAGCCGTGCCCACGGGTGCCCGTCTCAAAGCCTGGCTGCCCCAGGCGCCAGGGCCTGGGCCTCAGGCCGGTCAGGGTGGCTGCCACAGATCCATCCGCTCAGGCCCGAGCTGAGGCCAGCCCGGCACCGCCCTCAGCGCACCGCGAGCCCGCATCCCGGCCCAGGACCGCCCTCCGCCTCTGCCCTCCGGACAGCAGGACTCCACCTCGGATCAGTCGGCCTTAAAGGGATGGATGGTCTCGCCCCGCTGCTCCCGCAGCCCAGGGCCACGTGGCTGCAGGCGCCTCCCTCAGTACAGGAAGCGGGAAGCGGCAGCGGGCACGCGCTCCCTCCTCTGCAAGCAGTGGCCCCCGGCGAGCCTCCGGCCCACCAATCCTGCTCGCGGCCGCAGCCAGCTTCTCTCGCTGCGGCTGACGACACTACAGCTGAGCTCCCGCCAGCCTGACCTCCGGGCCCGGCAGGCGCCAGACCCAGTGAGACACCAGGGCGCTGACGGAGGCACGGGGGCCGCGCGGACAAGCACAAGGAGAGGTCTCTGCCAAGGCGTTTAGCACAAATTCACACTAAGCTCCCGGAAGGGGCCTCAGGGTCACGGCCTGGCACAGAGCCACCTCCCACCTCCGCGGGGAGCAAGGCAGAGCAGAGGGGACGGAGCACCTGCCTCCCCGGTCACCTCAACTCACGCCCCCCACCCCCCATCCAGCCAGCAGCCAAACCCAGCTCAGCGGGACACGCAGAAACCACTGGCCCCGGGCCCTCCCGCCCTCCCGCCCCCAGCCCAAAGCATGGGTCCGGCCGAGCGATCCACGGGCTCTGGCTTTACACCTGCCCCGGGCCCTCGCGGGGGGGCACATCCAGCCCGTGCGAGCGGAGCCGGGCAGCGGGGAGGAGGCTGAGCAGGACCTGGGCCACGGCCACTTGCGTCTGCGTCTGCTGCTGCTGGAGGAGCTGGTGCAGGAGCTGCAGCTGGTGCTGCGAGGACAGCGGCGTGTCCGCGCCCTGGGCCTGTGCACGGGGCGGGGGCGGCGGCACCCGGGGCGAGGCTGTGGGCACAGGCTCCTGGGGCGGCACCTGCGGGACAGAGGAGATTGTGTGAGCCTGGGCAGCGCTTCCTGGGCCCTCGCTCTGTGCTGTGCGGGGCACCTGCGGGTCCCGCCTATCGCCAAGGCTCAGGAGCGGGGCCGGGCGGAGCGGACGGCCGGGCAGCTGGTGTGGTGCCGGCCGGGCTGCTGACGGGAAGTCCCGCTCGGACACTCAGCACCCACCGGCTACGCAGTGATGCAACCCAGAGGAGGACACGTCCCCTTCACCTGCCCCGCCTCTGACTGTGCCACATGCTGGGTTCCTTCAGCTTCCGGACATGGGGGCTATTTCTACAGCTCCCACCCCCAGCGTGGGACAGAAGGACGGACAGACAGACAGACGGCGCCCCTTTCCTCTGCTGTGTCCTTGGGCTCGCCCCCAGGGTCTGCTTGCACCGAGGGCGTGGCCAAGGCGACAGCCCCTGCTCGGAGCGACAGGGACAAAGTGGTCACCGATGCAGCCGAAGGCCAGGAGGCCCTCTCTGTCCGTGGAAAGCACTTCCTGTCCCTTCCTGCTGCCCCGGCAGGTGGCTACTCCCACTAAGACAGCCCTGAGGGAGATGTCCCCGACCCCGGCTGCTGGCCCTCAGGCAGGTGAGGGGCACTCGCGGGGCGAAGGGTGCCGGGAGGACAGCAGATTATGGGGCACAGGCTCTGCCTGGCGAACTGGCCAACACCCCAGGGCGCTGAGGCAGGCCGTGCACCCACTGGCTGGCTGAGTCCCGGCGGACTTGGCTTGTCAGGAGCCCAGGTCCCCGGGGCCTTGCCGTGAGCGGCGCCTCTGCCTACCCTGGAGTCTGCGTGGGGGGCGCCGTCCTTCCTCACTGCGTCCAGGTCGGTCACCCCGCGGCTGAAGTCAAGGGCGTCGCTGCCCGGGACGGGGACCTCCACGGCGTCGATGTCGGTCTCCTCCGCAGTGGCCGGGGAGGCCCTCTCGGCTCCAGGGAGCTGGCGGCCTGCAGGGCAACAGAGAGGCGGGAAGGGATGGGACACCAAGAGTGCGTGCCCCTGCATGGCGGTCACTGGTCACGCCGGAAACGCCGCTGCCCGCTCCTCACCTGTTCCCAGCAAGTCTATCCGCTCCCACCCCAGCAAGACAGTCTGCTTTTAAAGCTAGAAGCTAAGATGGCGTTTCCTCTGTCTCTGCTGACGGGGTGGGGACCCTGGCTCAGGGGTGAGTCCTCTCCGCCTCATTCCAGCCCGGGAGGCATCAGCGAGGTGGGACTCCCAGCTTCGCTGGGCTATCAGGCCCCGATGATGGAGGGGCTGTGTGATTGCAGAGTGGGACAAGGAGGCTCGAGGCCCCAGAGCCTGCTCGGACCTTGCCCCAGGGCAGAGGCCTGAAGGGCAGGAGAGGCGGTGAGGCAGGCTGCGTTCAGTCACCCATCTGCCAGGACGCGGGAAGCAGCCTGGATGGCTCTGACAGAGCCTATGGCACAAACGAGAAAGCCAAGTCCGAGCTCTCATGCGCTGGACACAAGCCAGAGCCCGCAGGAAACCTTCACCCGTGAGACAGGAGAGGGGGTGGGGGCGGGCAGAGGGCACACCCTGCGGGGAGAGCCAGCGGTTCAGGTGACGCGGGGGAAGGGGCTCGGGTGGCACAGCACGCAGGACTGCAAAGGGCCTGTGGGGAGGGGCCCAGCAAGGGCGGGTCTTCGTGAAGGATGGAAGCACGCAGCAATACCAAGAGACCCGTTCTTTCACATGGCACTCACAGGCGACCAGCTCAGTCCAAAAGGCTTGAAATGGCTACTTTTGGCCTCAAAATTGCAGTATTACTACTTAAATGGTACGTACTATGTTTTATGTACTAAATTTAAGGTATTATACGTATTAATTTATTTACCCTCATAATCCACCTAAGAGGCAAACACTGTCATTACCCCCATGGACAGATAAAGAACGGGGCACACAGCCGCTAAGGCTGGGGCTCAGAGCCGCCAGGCCGGCCCCGGCTCCGTGCCTCCCGCCGGAGTCCTCCCCGCCTCACCGGCCTGTCTGCACTCTCCAAACTGTGGAGGTGATCGGTCGCTAGTTTGCATCCTCACCCAATTCTATCAGGGGACTGGACAACATCTGTCCGATGAAGGAAGGAACGGGAATAAGGAGAAACCAATGGCAGACAGCGGTGGTCTGATGAGATGGGGCACAGAGGTGGGAGGCACAGGTGTGGGAGAGAGGGACAAGTGTGGGGGCATAGGTTTGTGAGGAGAGCCACAGGTGGGGAAGAACAAGTATGTGTGCGGAAAAGGAGCAGGTGTGTAGAGGAGGAGGTGTGTGGGGAGAGGAACAGGTGTGGGGAGAGGAACAGGTGTGGGGAGAGGAGCAGGTGTGGGGGGAGAGGAGCAGGTGTGGGGAGAGGGACATAGTGGGGAGAGGAACAGGTGTGTGGAGAGGAGCAGGTGTGTGGAGAGGAGCAGGTGTGTGTGGAGAGGAGCAGGTGTGGGGAGAGGAGCAGGTGTGTGGGGAGAGGAGCAGGTGTGGGGAGAGGAGCAGGTGTGGGGAGAGGAGCAGGTGTGGGGAGAGGAACAGGTGTGGGGAGAGGAACAGGTGTGGGGAGAGGAACAGGTGTGGGGAGAGGAGCAGGTGTGGGGAGAGGAGCAGGTGTGGGGAGAGGAGCAGGTGTGGGGAGAGGAGCAGGTGTGGGGAGAGGGACATAGTGGGGAGAGGAACAGGTGTGTGGAGAGGAGCAGGTGTGTGGAGAGGAGCAGGTGTGTGGGGAGAGGAGCAGGTGTGTGGGGAGAGGAGCAGGTGTGGGGAGAGGGACAGGTGTGGGGAGAGGAGCAGGTGTGGGGAGAGGAGCAGGTGTGGGGAGAGGAACAGGTGTGGGGAGAGGAACAGGTGTGGGGAGAGGAACAGGTGTGGGGAGAGGAGCAGGTGTGGGGAGAGAAGCAGGTGTGGGGAGAGGAGCAGGTGTGGGGAGAGGAGCAGGTGTGGGGAGAGGGACATAGTGGGGAGAGGAACAGGTGTGTGGAGAGGAGCAGGTGTGTGGAGAGGAGCAGGTGTGTGGGGAGAGGAACAGGTGTGGGGAGAGGGACAGAGTGGGGAGAGGAGCAGGTGTGGGGAGAGGAGCAGGTGTGTGGGGAGAGGAACAGGTGTGGGGAGAGGGACAGAGTGGGGAGAGGAGCAGGTGTGGGGAGAGGAGCAGGTGTGGGGAGAGGAGCAGGTGTGTGGGGAGAGGAACAGGTGTGGGGAGAGGAGCAGGTGTGGGGAGAGGAGCAGGTGTGGGGAGAGGAACAGGTGTGGGAAGAGGAACAGGTGTGTGGAGAGGAGCAGGTGTGTGGGGAGAGGAACAGGTGTGGGGAGAGGAGCAGGTGTGGGGAGAGGAGCAGGTGTGGGGAGAGGAGCAGGTGTGGGGAGAGGGACATAGTGGGGAGAGGAACAGTTGTGTGGAGAGGAGCAGGTGTGTGGAGAGGAGCAGGTGTGGGGAGAGGAGCAGGTGTGTGGGGAGAGGAGCAGGTGTGGGGAGAGGGACAGGTGTGGGGAGAGGAGCAGGTATGTGGGGAGAGGGACAGAGTGGGGAGAGGAGCAGGTGTGTGGGGAGAGGAGCAGGTGTGTGGGGAGAGGAGCAGGTGTGTGGGGAGAGAAGCAGGTGTGGGGAGAGGGACAGAATGGGGAGAGGAGCAGGTGTGGGGAGAGGAGCAGGTGTGGGGAGAGGGACAGGTGTGGGGAGAGGGACAGGTGTGGGGAGAAGAGCAGGTATGTGGGGAGAGGGACAGAGTGGGGAGAGGAGCAGGTGTGTGGGGAGAGGAGCAGGTGTGTGGGGAGAGGAGCAGGTGTGGGGAGAGGGACAGGTGTGGGGAGAGGAGCAGGTGTGGGGAAAGGGACAGGTGTGGGGAGAGGAGCAGGTGTGGGGAGAGGGACAGGTGTGGGGAGAGGGACAGGTGTGGGGAGAGGAGCAGGTGTGGGGAGAGGAGCAGGTGTGGGGAGAGGAGCAGGTGTGTGGAGAGGAGCAGGTGTGTGGAGAGGAGCAGGTGTGGGGAGAGGAGCAGGTGTGGGGAGAGAAAAACAAATATGGGCACAGGTTGGGGGATGAACAGGTGTGTGAGAGGGCACAGGCTGGGGGCACGGTGATGGGGTGCACAGGTGAGCAGGACGCCCAGGGCCAGCAGAGGTGGCAGGCACACAGTGAATCGCCACTGACACGGGGAGGTTCTCAGATGCCTCTTCCCCAGGGCGGGCTGGCTGCTGTGAGGCCGGCTGCCTCCCCGGGAACGGGGCCTCTCCAGGAACCCTCTCGGGAGTGAAGGAAACCCGAGGGCAGCGCGGCCTGGCCCCCAGCCCCGGGCCGGCCTGGGCAGCTGCTGCCAAGACAGACAAAGGGTGATCAGCCCTGGGTCGGGACAGGGGAGAATGGGGAGGAGAGGACACTCGTAACTGAGGACACCTCCCCTAGCGCTGCTGAGGCCCAGAGCAGCCGCCGCCAGGCCCCGGACCGCGGGGCGCACTGCCCGCTCCCACGGGCGCTCTCTGCAGTGTGGCCTCGGGCGGTGGGCTCTCAGGAAGGGACTCCCGGAATGGAAAACTCCCTGAGGGGGCGGGAGATTCTTTAACAAAAACAAGCCTGTTCCATCGCCAACCGGTCAGCTCTGGGTGTCCGGCGCCCACGCACAGAGGACCTGGCGGAGTGGGCAGCGCCTACCTGGGTCCCCGGAGCCGTGGCTGTGCCAGTCACTGTCGCCGTCCTCCTGGCCGTCCGCGCTCTGCTGCGTGTGCTGCAGGCTCAACTTGTGGCACACCTCGAAAGCCTGCCCCACAGTCCGCACAATCCGCATGGCTTGGCTCTGGGGGAGAGAGCAGATGTGGGCGAAGGAGGCAGGGCTCTCGGTGAGGACATGGGTGGGTGGGGGCAGGCCGTCACTGGGGCAGGTGGCCAGCAGCTGGGCCAGCAGAGGAGAGAGACGAAACCTAAGGCATTTGGACGTGCACACATGCCACACCAGCCGGCACCATAAGCAGCGGGAGGGACAGAGCCAACACCCCACCCCAACTCAGCCAACACCAGCGCCTCCTCCAAGGGAGAAGGGGTCCACCCTCCCGGGAATCCTCTGTGACCGCGCGCTCTGCTGGAGACGTGGGGCCCGGAGCACCTCATGCCAGGCTGTGGTGCCAGGGAGCAGGGAAGCAGCGGAGGCCGGAGCGCCAGACCCCCAGACCCTGGAGCACAACGCAGCTCAGACTTTGGGAGGCCTGCCCCCGGCTGTCCCTGGTGCCGCCTCTCCTTTGTGTTGCTATTTAACCTCTTCCTGGAAATGCCCGAGAGGCGGGACCAGGGATGGCCGGGAGAGGAGGAACCCAGAGGAGCCAGCGCTGAGCAAGGCGGATCCCACACTGTAACAGGGGGGTCTGCTCTCTGCCTCTCAGAGACGGAGGGGAGTCTGGGCTCAGGCCGGGGCTCAGCGCACGCATCACCTTGGACTACTGTTCCTTTACCTCAAATGCGGCCATCACTCTACACCTGAGCTCAGACCAGTCACACTGAGGGATCTAGCTTCGGGTCAGCTGTGACCACCTGGTGACCCCACTTTCAACCCCTGTGGCGACACCGCAGTCCCCTCACCAACCAATGAGTGACGGCCGAAGAGTGACAGCTGGTGAGTGACAGCTGAGCAGCGCACAGGCTGAGAGGCCGAGAGCCCCGAAGGGTGGCTGTGAACCTGTGCTTCTCGCACCGCTCTGCTCTGCGCCATCGTCCGCAGGACACTCTGTACCCGGTCCTCACCCGGAGCAGCACTGCAGGCCGCGCTCTGGGTGTGACCTGAGCTCCCCAGCTGCTCCCAAGCCTGGGGGCTCAGAGGCCTCTTTGCTCTGATCAAGGCCAGAGCATGCCAGCCTCAGAAATGGCGCCGGAGTCTGTGTCAGAATCTCAGGGAAGATACTTGAAGGTGGCAAGGAAGGCCAACCTGCTGCGGACGGGGCGGGTGGGCCCGGGGCCCCTGGCTGCCGGCCGCCCTGGGCCTGTGTAGTTAACAAGCCTCGGGGACTGACAAGGAGAGGCCTTGTGGGGCTTCCACATCCCCTGGCCGCCCTGCAGCAGCGCTCACCCCTCGGGACAGGCCTGGTGCGAGGCAGCCAGCACAATGCAGAGCCAGCGGGAGGAGACAGGCAGCCTTTGCCAGCTCCAGGATCTGGCCATTGTCTGGAATTTACTGGATGTTCTCTGAAAGCGTCATTTCTGAACAATCAAGGTTGGTTTCACATAAGCCTGGAAAGCACTTGTCTTCTGTCCAAACCCACTTTCTCTTAGCAACCCCAGAGCAGCGCAGGCTCCCGCCGTGGGCCAGGCTGCGAGGGCTGCTTGGGTGTCTTCAGAGCTGGCGGGCACGCAGACCACAGGATGCTCCCAGCAGCCATGGAGACGCCGGAGCTAAGGGAGCACAGAGGCTGGTGACTGGAGACTGACCTTGTACCACTTGCCCTTGGGACACACAGTTTCTTTAAACCACCTACTGACTCATGTTGACAAAGCCCCCAGCCACCCCTCCGTCTAGCCCTGAAGTCCAGACGGACACAGACACAGCTCTGCCTCTGGCCTCCCTCCTGGCAGGTGTCTGTCCTCAGAGTGAGGGGCGCCCAGGCAGGAGCGGACAGCGCATTTCAAAGGCGGCTTCTGGCACTCCTGGTCTAAGAGAAATTAGTCGATCGTGAATCTGTTGTGTTTTTTTAAATAATTCTTTATTGTTGAAAGTATTACATATTCCCCCTTTCCTTCCACTGACCCCCTCCAGCCGGCCACCATCCTCTCCCTCCCACGCCAGGCCTTCAGCACCCTATTGTCTGTGTCCATGCGCCATGCGTATGTGCATTCAAGGTCTTTGGTTGATTACCTCCCACCCACCCACCCTTCCCCACCTTCCCTGAGGTTCCACACTCTGTTCCATGCTTCCAGCCTCTGGACCCACTCCGTCCATCAGTTTATTTTGTTCATTAGATTCCACATATGAGTTAGGTCAGGTGATACATGTCTTTCTCAGACTGGCTTATTTCACTTAACATGATACTCTCCAGGCCCCTCCATGCTGTCTCAAAGGGTAAGAGATACTTCTTTTTTACTCTGCATAGAATTCCCTGGTGTAAATATATCACAGCTTTTTATCCACTCGTCTGCTGATGGGCACTTGGGCTGTTTCCAGATCTCAGCTATTATAAATAGCACTGCTATGAATATAGGGGTGCATATATTCCTTCTGATTGTTGCTTTGGGTTTCTTAGGATATATTCCTAGAAGTGAAATGACTGGGTCAAATGGCAGTTCTACATTTAATTTTTTGAGGAAACTCTATACTGTTTTCCATAATGGCTGCACCAGTCTGCATTCCCACTAGCAGTGTATTAGGGTTCCCTCTTCCCCACATCCTCACCAGCACTTGTCATTTGTAGATTTGTTCATGGTAGCCATTCTGGCAGGTATGAGATGGTACCTCATTATTGTTTTGATTTGTATCTCTTGGATGATTAGTGACTTTGAGCATTTTTTCCTATGTCTCTTGGTCACTTTTAGATTGTATTCCTTTTGTTAAGTTGTATGAGTTCCTTATACATTGTGGATATTAACCCTTTATCAGATGTATTGTTGCCAAATATGTTCTCCCATACAGTGGGTCCCCTTTTCTTTTTGTTAGTTTTATTTTGCTATGCAGAAGCTTTTCATTTTTATGTAGTCCCATTTATTTATTTTATTCTTAGTTTCATTTGCCCTAGGAGAGGTATCTGCAAACATATTGCTACTCCAGCTTTTTTTTTTCTTCGTTTCCATTTGTATAGAAAATTTTTTTCCATCCCTTCACTCTCATCCTGTGTGTGTCTTTTGTTCTGAGGTAGTCTCTTGTAGACAGCATATAGTTGTGTCATAGTTTTCTATAGGTTTGTATCCATTCAGCTATCCTATGCCTTTTGATTGGAGCATTTATTCCATTTACATTTAGGGTTATTATTGATAGTTACTTATTTATTGCCATATTATTTCTGTATGCCTGTGTTTCTCTCTCTCTCTTTTTCTCATCACACTAGTCTCTCGCATTTCTTGTAATGCTGGCTTGGTGATGCTATACTCCTTTAGCCTTTTTTTTTAAATTTTATTCGACTGTCTATTTAAAAAAAAAAAGAAGAAGAAGAAGAAGAAGAAGAAGAAGAAGAAGAAGAAGAAGAAGCCGTAGTTGGTTTGGCTCAGTGGATAGAGCATCGACCTGCGGACTGAAAGGTCCCAGGTTTGATTCTGGTCAAGGGCATGTACCTTGGTAGGGGGTGTGCAGGTAGGGGGTGTGCAGGAGGCAGCTGATCGATGATTCGCTCTCATCGATGTTTCTAGCTCTCTATCCCTCTTTCTTCCTCTCTGCAGAAAATCAATTATATATATATAATTTTTAAAAGATATTTAAAAAAAAAAAAGGCTAAAGGAGTATATCATCACCAAGCCAGCATTACAAGAAATGCTAAAGAGACTGGTGTGATGAGAAAAAGAAATAGAGAGAGAAACCTAGGTTTATATTAACACATAGGGAGAACAAAGGATAAAATATTTAACTGCAACCATGTTTGACTATATTCTGCATAGTGAAAAAACCTGAAGTCATTTTCAAGGTCCACCATTTCTTACTTCTTTTCAGTCAGGTCAAGTTTCTAAGCCTTCTAAATCTCCATTTTCCAGCTAATAAAAAGAAAATAGGATTCTACCAAGTCTCCTATCTATATACTCTAGGACTTCTGTGAGGATCAAATGAGATGAGGCAAGGGAAAATGCTTCACAGACATTTGGTTAAAGTGTAAATGTTTCCACCTGGCTATAAAGCAAGTTGTGGGAGAGGAAGCGGGTGTTGCTACATGATGTCATTATCTGGATGGAAACTTAGCATATCATCTACATATATATATATATATATATATATATATATATATATAAAAGGTTATTACGTTATTACGTTTTCATTGAAACATTTCGTTATATTGACTGGGTGCAAAAACATTTATTGTGGACTGCATGCGGCTCACAGGCCATGAGTTTGACATGCTTGTATTTGGTAGATCCTTTAGGCCTCTTAATTAGATCAGGCAAAGACTCAAAGCCTCCAGAGATGGACTCTACAGACTGATAGGATTCCCACTTGAATTGCCCCCAGGCAATCATCTTCAGGTCTGGAGAGGGTTGTTTTTCAACAGGGTGGGGCAACTCCTTTAGCTTGGAAGCTAATTGTTATTTTTAGTCTCTTAAGTAACCTCAGGACAAGGTGTTTTCCAATAGGGTGTGTCAACTGTACTCCCCCCAAGCAAGGCAAATGTATATATGGGAAAGATGTTCTCCATTGCATGAGGGAATGACTTAGCCCAGGAAAGTGTCTGCCTTCTGAGCTCTAACCCCCCCGAGTCCCCGTCCTGGCTTCTGCTCTCACAGCTCCAGTTCACTTCACCCTCCCTCTGCCAGAGCACAAGGTGGGTGGCTCCACAGGGAATTTTGTGTGTTGGCCCTTTAAAAGAGTGCCTAAATTTTTAGTTGTTACTCCTTGGCAAATAGCAACCCTGCTGCTTTTCACAGCCATATGTTATGTGGGTACCCTCCTCAGTTGTGATGCTCTCTGCTGGGAGGTCCAGCTTGGGGATTAGATCCCAGAGTTCTCAGTGGCAACCCCCCACAGCTGGGATATCTCTCCAGGACTTCATTTGCTGTCTGTGGGCATCCAGCCAGTCCTTCCAGGCTTTTGCACTCCCTCTCCCCCAGCAGTCTCTATGTGCTATCCTCTTTCAGACCTCAGGTATCACAGTTCTCTCCTGTGAGTTTTCCATTGATTATTTAGGAAGTTTGTTGTATTTTAGTTGTAATTCCAGTTTTCGTGAATCTGTTTTCTGTTCTCATCTTAAGGGACCATGTTGTCAGCTGGTCCTGCAAACTCTGGGGATTTCAGCCCTGTGTACATGGGAAGAAGGGCAGTCATCAGCCTTATTCCACAGCTGACTTCACGTGGACCCTGATGGCCCTGGCATCATTGGCAGCCGAAAATGCAGGTGCCTGGGAAGATGAGGACGATGATGGTGATGAGGGTGGGAGGAGTGAAGAGACTGGGAAAGTCTCACAAGTGAGTGTCTATATGCCCTTCAGGCTCACTGAGTCTACTCCCGTTACTGAGCAGTGAGGACTCTCCGCAGGTGCTTGAGTGCCAGGCATGGAGCCTGGGAGCAGCTGTGGGCCATCCGTCATAGCAATAAGCTCCACCCCCACATAGGCCCCACCTCCCACAGGATCAACAGGCAGGATGCACGATCAGCTTTAGTAAAGACAGAGGCCTATGTCTATCTTGATTGCAAACTTGCGATCCTGAAGCAAGAAAGGATGTGTGGCTTTGACACAGAGAAGCAGCCAGGGTCCTTGGCTCCAGGATGGGAGGTGGGCCCCATCTGCCCAGCAGGTTCTTTAATGGACTTGATCATATCATTTGATTGATGCAACACCAGAATGTTGCTTTAAAGTGGGTCTAATCTCCAGGCACAGGGCGACCCTCTGCCAGGAAAGTTGACACCTGACCCACATTCTCAAACCTGTCCCCACGGAGAGCTGTGAGGTTAGGTCAACCCCACATGAGAAGATGCCATGGGAACCTGCACCGGGCGTGGACGTGTCGGGGACAGCAACGCCCAGCAGTGAGGAGCTCATGTGAGGATCTCCCACGCCACGGTCAGCGGGGCCTCCCACGCCACAGTCAGCGGGGGCCTCCCACGCCACGGTCAGCGGGATCTCACGCCACGGTCAGCGGGATCTCACGCCACGGTCAGCGGGATCTCCCACGCCACGGTCAGCGGGATCTCCCACGCCACGGTCAGCGGGGGCCTCCACGCCACGGTCAGCGGGGGCCTCCACGCCACGGTCAGCGGGATCTCACGCCACGGTCAGCGGGATCTCACGCCACGGTCAGCGGGATCTCACGCCACGGTCAGCGGGATCTCCCACGCCACGGTCAGCGGGATCTCCCACGCCACGGTCAGCGGGATCTCCCACGCCACGGTCAGCGGGATCTCCCACGCCACGGTCAGCGGGGGCCTCCACGCCACGGTCAGCGGGGGCCTCCACGCCACGGTCAGCGGGATCTCACGCCACGGTCAGCGGGATCTCCCACGCCACGGTCAGCGGGGGCCTCCACGCCACGGTCAGTGGGATCTCACGCCACGGTCAGCGGGGGTCTCCCACGCCACGGTCAGCGGGGGCCTCCCACGCCACAGTCAGCGGGATCTCCCACGCCACGGTCAGCGGGATCTCACGCCACGGTCAGCGGGATCTCCCACGCCACGGTCAGCGGGGGTCTCCACGCCACGGTCAGTGGGATCTCCCACGCCACGGTCAGCGGGGCCTCCCACGCCACGGTCAGCGGGATCTCCCATGCCACGGTCAGCGGGATCCCACGCCACGGTCAGCGGGATCTCCCACGCCACGGTCAGCGGGGGCCTCCCACGCCACGGTCAGCGGGATCTCACGCCACGGTCAGCGGGGTCTCCCACGCCACGGTCAGCGGGATCTCCATGCCATGGTCAGCGGGGTCTCCCACGCCACGGTCAGCGGGGCCTCCCACGCCACGGTCAGCGAGGCCTCCCACGCCACGGTCAGCGGGGCCTCCCACGCCACGGTCAGCGGGGTCTCCCACGCCACGGTCAGCGGGATCTCCCACGCCACGGTCAGCGGGATCTCCACGCCACGGTCAGCGGGGGCCTCCACGCCACGGTCAGCGGGGTCTCCCACGCCACGGTCAGCGGGGGCCTCCACGCCACGGTCAGCGGGATCTCCCACGCCACGGTCAGCGGGATCTCCCACGCCACGGTCAGCGGGATCTCCCACGCCACCGACAGCGTGAAGCTCCAGGCGAGAGTTCTCCCTGCTGACCTCCCATAACCTAGCGGTGTGCCTGCGACACACCCTCAAGCGCTCCTGTGACCTGCCATTACACCTCCTTCCCGAAAGGTCAGCACGCCCGGTAGAGCCCTGCCTCCCCTCCTGCTTCCTTTCTTTCGGGGCGGACACCGCCCCTCCAGCTGTAGCTCAGCGAGGGGCTCCCAGACCAAGACGTCTGATGGCAACGTAGGGTCTGGAAGCTGCGCCTGGCCGCCCAGCCTCAGAGCTGAGGACACAGGAACAGGAGACCGGCCAGCAGTCAGAATCAGCTGAGAGCTGGGAGTGACAGGGAACGATGGCCACTTTTTGTCACTGGGTGGCAGGACTCTCGTTGGGTTAATCCGTCCTGGCAGAAACAGGGCTGACCCCACATCACTAAGGAGACGGCAGGCAAAAGCCCCCTTTCCCAGGCTCAGTCAGTGTCGGTGGCTCTCTGACCCAAACCTGTGCTTCTTCCCTAGAGGTGGGCAGGCCCTTCAATCTCACTGCAAACGGCGGCGAGAATCTGTGTCTTCTGCAGTAGGCACTACAAGGAACAAGTATGATTAAATACTGAAGTACGCTGTAAATTATAACCTGCTACTTGTCTCTGATAAACTGCAAGGCCCTAGGGCTCAGTCTCTGAACAAAACCACGTCAGACACGGGCCGAGCCCAGAGGAACTCAGAGGCACTCCCTCTCTGCGCCTGCTGGAGAGTATCAACCTGCTGTGCGGGCTCTGCTCCTCCCCCCAACCCTCACCATGGCCCGTGACACGCAGCTGACACAGCCCACTTCCTCTCGGGCCCCCAGCCTCGTGGTCTCCACTGCCTGCCTCCTGCTTCCCTTCCGTCCAGGCCCACAATCAAGCAGGACGCCTGGGACAGGAGCTCAGCTGCCTCAGCAAAGTGCAGTCTCTGTGGAGCGGGTGGTGGCCCAAGGCCCAGACCCTGCCTGTCACCTGTGACTCCTACTGCCCCAACCTGACCTGCAGACTTACTCAGATGCCTGACGCACAAGACATCACCACGTCGAAGGAGGGCGCGGAGGGCCTGTGGTGAGCACGGCCAGGCTTGGTGGACAGACCTTCCAGGCACACAGTCCTCCCAACACCCCTCCTGCGGAACGGTCTGTGCTGACACGTCCCACGGGAGGCACGAATCCACGGCCACGTCGGTGAGAGAAACGCTGGGTTAAACCAGGTCACATGGGTTTCGCCAACTCCGGAGCTGCTGGCAGGCTGAGACGGGCACTCAGTGCCAGTGCCTCACGGTATGTCTGGGTAACCTCCTCCTGGCTTTATAGCTAGGAACGCTGAGCTGTGGGGACAGTGACCCACAGAGCACCGTGCAGGCGGCAGAGAAGGGTGTGTGGGACTGGTGGGGGCAAGAGAAGCAAGCCCATAGCTGCCCAAGTTCCTTCCTCCAGATCAAGGTTACTGTGCAAAGGCAGTCACCCAGGACCAGGGTCACACCCACGCCTAAACCACGTGCCACGGTCGCCTTGCAGCCTCACCGGTGGGTAGCGTGGAGAGGGAAAGCCGAAGAGCTGCCACCCCTGCTCAGCCCAGGCCCCCCAGAAGGAGGGAACCTGCCAGTGTCCGTACATGACAGGTAGAGAGTGCAGAGGAGACTAAAGAGCAGGACACCAGGGCAGTGGCACATCCTAGGTGTCCCCATGGCAGTGGGGCCTCCAGACCCTGTCTGCACCAGGGAGACGGTCAGGCTGGGCACCAGGTCCGTCAGGAAGACACAGGGGCTGGGACTGCCCTTTACCTTCTTCTTGGACTTGAAGACGTTGCACCGGAAGATGTTGCTGGCTCCGTCCCGTGCTATGTAGCTGAAGATCTTCAAGTCCTGGGAGTCGTGAGACACGTAGAAGATCCTGCAGAAAAGCACAGGAAACCCGAGAACTCGGTCGGTGCCAGCGTCCGCGAGGAAGCCTCTGCACGAGGCGCCCTGCGAGCAGACAGCTCCAGACACGACACCGGGCGGTGGCGCCGGACAGGGTCCCAGTCACCGGCAGTGCCCATCCGACTCCTGTGCTGCCCAGACACCGTTCCGCCCCGTGGGAGCCGTCAGCCTGCGGAGCCAGAGACCAGGTGGCCCTGGTCCCGGCTCGAGTTCTCCCCTCAAGGGGCGGACCCCTTTCCCAAACGCAATCGCCAGTCCTGAGCCACATGGTCCCAAGTGACAACCATTCTGGTCACAGACTGCCAGGGCTCCAGGCCGGCCCTTCTCCCCAGCATGCCCGCCTGCCTCCTCCCCAGCTCCCTAAGTTCGTTGTGCCCCCAGCAAGTGTGTCTTCCTTCTCCTGAGCGTGTGCTGAGGGAAAGGTCCTGGGCAAGACCGCGGCCCCTCTCCGGCCCCAGGGCCTGGCGCTCCTGTTTGAAGTGCATCCCTGTCTCCAGCCCAGGGCCTCGCTGCTGCCTGTGTCCAGCCCTTAGCTCATGCCTGGATCTTCCAGCCTCTGTCTCTCCTCCCAGCTCCCCACACCCAGCCGCTTCCTGCTGCCGGCACAGGGGTGTTTTTAAAAGCACAGACGGCACCATCTCCCTCTAAAAGCCACCCACGTCCTTTCCGTCTCCTCCGAGTGCCAGCTGCCCGCCCTTCAGATGGGCCATGTGCCACTTCCTGCGTCCGTGGCAGCGGTGACGCCCTGCAGCCTCGGACTCACACCGAGGCTGCCGGAGGATGGCGGCCCGCCTGTGCCTGGCACACACCTGGCGTGAGGTTTACACACAGAGGATGAGGCCCAGGCCCATGCCAGCAGCCCAGCACCAGGGCTGCCCGTGGCCACTCCTCCAGACCCCGCCGTCACTCTGCCCGTCAGATGTGCCGTCCGGAGTCCCGTGGGCTCTACAGCTTGCACCCCAGAGGCCCCGGCTGTGCCCGGCATGGGGAAAGGGCGGTGCGCCAGGCACCAGGCGGGCGTCCTCACTTCACAGCCGGGGAGTCCTCAGGGAGAGCCTGGGCTCTGGGCAGAGCGATGGGAGGAAGGCGGGCTGGAGCGGTCCCTCGGGGAAGGCCACCCAGGGGTCCCAGTTATTACACTTCCTGCTGCCCTGCGTGAGGAGTAAGCCGCCAACTGGTTCAAAGTCTAGAGAGACCCAGCAATGCCCCTCATCCTCGGCAGCCTGTCCACAGCCCCCGGCCTCTCGGGGGCTAAGCTCACAGCGGTGACAGGTTCTCCCACTGGCATCTCCCCTGCTCCCGGGACCAACGCACCGCCACCCTCCGGGCACCACGCTCCGGCAGTTCCTTCCTCTCGCCCGGTGCGCACAGCCGCAGACTGAAGGCCTGTCCACGCCAAGCTTCAGTGCTCTCAGCGCGGGGACTGCTCAGTGACGCCGCCTGCTGGTTTTCAAGCCCCAGGTCTGCGAGGCTGCCGGCTGGTCCTGGCCTGTCCCCGAGGACCGGGCTTCCTGAGGACAGGCCCTTCCTCCCAGTCTGCCCTCCCCCCACAGTTACCCTCGTGCTCCCCAGGCAGTGAGCCCTGCCCCCTCCTGTGGAGGGAGGTCAGCACAGACCTTCGGGGGAAGCACCATCACCAGAGCTTGTACCGCGCCCAGCCAGTGCCACCCCGGGCCGTGCCCTGTGCTCAGAGCAGCCCGCTGTGCCCTGCCCTCTCGACCAGCTCCTCAGCGGCATTGTGGGGAGAAGAGCATCCGGGCAAGAGCAGCTGAGGCCGCGGAGGCTGCGCAGGCTCCTCCTCAGCCCGTGGTCTCAGGGCCCCGCCTTCTCAGCAGCGAACAAAGGCAAGGGAGGGACTGGTCCCGGGGGCAGGTGTATGTGGACGCGTGTACATACACTTGTGTAAGTGTACCTGGGTATGAGGAGGGCGTGCCTGGCCATGAGCCACGCCCCATGCCCACACAGCAGCCCACCCAGGAGGAACTGCAGCGGCTGCAACGCCTGCCCCCAAAGCGGGAGTCCAGGCAACGCAAAGCCGGAGGCAAGACGCAGCCGGGAGCTCCTGTGCAACTGCCGACCCCCGGCCACGCTCTTCTTGCTCCTGCCTCCTCCGCCCTCCCACCGGCCAGCGAGGAACAAGGCGATGAGCCGTAGTGGGAAGGGCCGCACCCTCGCCAGCGGCAGGCCGGGCACCTCCCGAGGCAGCCCTGCGGGCCACCGCCCCAGACGCCTGCCCCCCCCCGTACAGCGGAACAGGTCACCTTACTTCTCGCCCGTGCCAGAGGCCACGCTGCCCTTTAGCCTCCCTGTGTGCCCCCGTCACCGCCTAGCCGCACACCCTCCTGGCCGTCTCAGCAAACCCTCTGCCACCCACCAAATGCCTGCGGGCTGCGCTCAGACTCAGCAGAGATGTTTGTAGGTTGGCCGGCTGGCTCACTCATCCACCCGCTCAGTTCCGGATAACCGTCTACAGAATGACTGTTCTGCCTGGGAATTTCGCCAAGAGTTAAGAAATGAATTCAGCCAAAACCGGTTTGGCTCAGTGGATACAGCGTCGGCCTGCAGACTGAAAGGTCCCAGGTTCGATTCCGGTCAAGGGCATGTACCTTTATTGCAGGCACATCCCCGGTAGGGGGTGTGCAGGAGGCAGCTGGTCGATGTCTCTCTCTCATCCATGTTTCTAGCTCTCTCTCTCTCTCTCTCTCTCTCCCTTCCTCTCTGTAAAAAATCAATTATATATATATATATATATATATATATAGAGAGAGAGAGAGAGAGAGAGAGAGAGAGAGAGGGAGGGAGGGAGAGAGATGAATTCAATCGACCAAATGCACACTGAGGACACCTGTGTATGGCGGGCAGAGCCCGAGGACCGAGACTGTCCCACGAGATTAGCACAGAAGACAGGATGGCGACAGCCTGGGGCTCCACAGCAGCCGAGGGACCCTGTGGGGAGGGACAGCCAGGGACTGGGGCTGAAAGCAGACCTGGAGCGATAGCTGGTGCACCGGCCACTAGACCCCGCGCATCCGGTTTCACTCGGTGCCACAGCGCCGCTTGGGGCCTCCAGGCCGAGGGTGTGAGGACCGCATCCATCAGCTCCCCCTTTTTCCTGAGTTCCAGGCATGGCCTCAGGCCTCCGCCGGCCCTGTGCACACTGCGGCCTGTCTGAGCAGAAGGGCAACCCCATGCAGGGGTCTCTGAGGTGGGCCCACCACCCCGCCCGAGACAGTGCCTGCCCTGGACGGGTGCCCGGGGCCCGGTGCCGTGGGGGACGCTAAGACACTGTCCTACCCAATCCTGCTGCCTGAGGGCTGCAGCTCCAGACCCAGAACAGCCTTCCCTCGCTGCCCTCGAGGCTGACGCTGCTCACACAGCGGCCCTTCCTCTGTCCATGCCGTGGTCCTTTACATGCTCCCATGATTTTGGGTGTCAGGACAGTGTATGGGCCCATGGAGGGTCATCAAGTCCGGGTAAGACGGGACTTGACCAGGCCCAGCGCCAAGCCCAGTGCCAAGCCTCACACCTATGTGGCTCCAGGGGCTTCTCCCACACGGGCCTGTCCCCTTCTGTGACCTGCACCCACGACGCGAGGTTTGGTGGACAGAAGCTCCCCTCACAAGACACCGACGCAGGTCCCCACGCGTCCCAGTGCGACGTCAGGAGGGTGACCGTCTCCCTCGCAGCAGGACAGGGGCAGGCCCGCTCCAGATGTGACGCTCCGGATGGCCTGTCTTACCCCGACTGGATGACCCTCCATGGGCCCATACACTGTCCTGACACCCAAAATCTTGGGAGCATGTAAAGCAATGAACTGTTCTGGGCTCTTCCAAGTCTTCAGAGGCCGGTCAGCGACACCTGCCCACGCCAGGCCAGTGCCCCTGGCGGTGGGGAGAGTGGCCAGGGCAGGACAGCATTCACCTCTGCACACGGTCCCATCCGAGACTCTCCAGGGCTTTTCCCAAATTCTACATCGATTCCCTTTGTTCATTCAAGACAGGAGCGAGAGACCTGCAAGCACGGGCCGAGTGGAGGGGCAGGCCTGACCCGTCCCCACAGCGCCTTCCGGAGGCAGCTAACAGGAGGCTTTCTGTGGTGGCCCTGGCTGTGGCTCGCGTCCTGTCTGGGCGTCCTGTCAGGGCAGGGGCGCCCTGAGGCCGCAGGGGGCCAAGGGGGCCTCTCGGACAGCTTCTGCTTGGCTGCCAAGGGGCCCACTTGCTGCCCAGCTGGCTCAGCTGTGCTTTTGGCTCCGGAGGCCGGGGTAGGCTCAGTGCCTTGAGCATGCCAGTGCAGCCAAAGGAGGTTCATGCGCCCAGTGTGTCATGCAGCTTATGAAGCACCTACTATGTGCTACAGGCCTGTCCAGGCCTCAGGCACTGCAGTGCTCAAAACACGTGTCCCACTTTGGTGAGTTGTGCTCAGAGCTCCCAGGACAAGTGTCTGCTCCTGTGGCAGGACTGAGGCCACACGTTTCTGTCCTGCTTCCATGCAAGATGGCTTTCCCACACCCACTCTCTGCGGTCAGACTGTCAGCGACCCACCTGTGCCTCCTGAGGTGACACAGCCTCTCCCTGTCACTCAGGCACGCTTGCTCCCGGCCAACCGCCTCCCCTCGGAGCCTCAGCCCCGGCCCGAGGGGACCCCGCGATGCTGGGGCAGCCCCGACTGGTCTGTGCGAGCTCCGTCGTCCATCCGAGCTGTGCGCTGGCGTGTGGAGGGGGCGAGGAGGAAGGGCGTCTGGCCTCTCCCTCAGGAGCCCCTCCGCTGCTTTATTTTCAAGCCTAATCACTTGGCCATTTTCTGCCCTGTCCTCGGCCACACCCCGACACTCACCCGAGGCCCCTCAGAGGCAGCAGGAGGTGCCGTGAGGACCATGAGCAGGGGCCATGCCCGGGCTCTGCACTCTGGCGCTTTGGACTCAGTGGTGAATGGGGGAGGATGGAGAGGTCCATGTACTGACCGGCCCTGTCCCCGGCAGGAGGCCTGTGCCCCGGCAGGAGGCCCTGTGCCCCGGCAGGAGGCCTGTGCCCGGCAGGAGGCCCTGAGCCGGCAGGAGGCCTGTGCCCGGCCGGAGGCCTGTGCCTCGGCAGGAGGCCCTGTGCCCAGCAGGAGGTCCTGTGCCCGGCAGGAGGCCTGAGCCGGCAGGAGGCCCAGAGCCAGTGCAGAGGCTGTTCAGGAAGAAGAAGCACACGCACCGCTCAGTGGGTGAGGGAGGAACGGGCAGAAGAGGGGGCACCGCAGGGACTGGGAGTCTGGAGGTAGGAACGGGGCACAGTTCCTGCCAAGTGCTGGGCGCCCGGCAGGCTGAGAGGACCCACAGGCTGGGAGGACCCACAGGCTGGGAGAACCCTGGGCTGGGAGGACCACGGGCTGGGAGGATCCTGGGCTGGGAGGATCACGGGCTGGGAGGACCCACAGGCTGGGAGGACCAGCAGGCTGGGAGGACCAGCAGGCTGGGAGGACCACGGGCTGGGAGGACCTGCAGGCTGGGAGGACCACGGGTTGGGAGGACCTGCAGGCTGGGAGGACCATGGGCTGGGAGGACCAGCAGGCTGGGAGGACCAGCAAGCTGGGAGGACCTGCAGGCTGGGAGGACCCTAGGCTGGGAGGACCCGCAGGCTGGGAGGACCCGCAGGCTGGGAGGACCCGCAGGCTGGGACGACCCCAGGCTGGGAGGACCCGCAGGCTGGGAGGACCACAGGCTGGGAGGACCCCAGGCTGGGACGACCCGCAGGCTGGGAGGACCCCAGGCTGGGAGGACCCCGGGCTGGGAGAACCCGCAGGCTGGGAGGACCCCAGGCTGGGAGGACCCCGGGCTGGGAGGACCCGCAGGCTGGGAGGACCTGCAGGCTGGGAGGACCACGGGCTGGGAGGACCCGCAGGCTGGGAGGACCCGCAGGCTGGGAGGACCACGGGCTGGGAGGACCCGCAGGCTGGGAGGACCCGCAGGCTGGGAGGACCACAGGCTGGGAGGACCCCAGGCTGGGAGGACCCACAGTCTGGGACGACCCGCAGGCTGGGAGGACCCGCAGGCTGGGAGGACCCGCAGGCTGGGAGGACCACGGGCTGGGAGGACCCACAGGCGGGGAGGACCACAGGCTGGGAGGACCCGCAGGCTGGGAGGACCCGCAGGCTGGGAGGACCACGGGCAGGGAGGACCCGCAGGTGGGGAGGACCACAGGCTGGGAGGACCCACGGGTTGGGAGGACCCCAAGCTGGGAGGACCCACAGGCTGGGAGGACCACGGGTTGGGAGGACCACGGGCTGGGAGGACCCACAGGCTGGGAGGACCACGGGTTGGGAGAACCACGGGCTGGGAGGACCACGGGCTGGGAGGACCCATGGGCTGGGAGGACCACAGGCTGGGAGAACCACGGGCTGGGAGGACCATGGGCTGGGAGGACCACGGGCTGGGAGGACCACGGGCTGGGAGGACCCGCAGGCTGGGAGAACCACGGGCTGGGAGGACCACGGGCTGGGAGGACCACGGGCTGGGAGGACCCGCAGGCTGGGAGGACCACGGGCTGGGAGGACCCGCAGGCTGGGAGGACCACGGGCTGGGAGGACCCGCAGGCTGGGAGGACCACAGGCTGGGAGGACCATAGGCTGGGAGGACCACAGGCTGGGCGGCAGGCAGGCTGGGAGGAGGTGCCCTGAGTGGGTAGCAGGGGTGAGGAGGGGCCTCAGGAGAGGGGGAGGACTCAGCTGTGGGGACGGGACAGTCTGGGGAGCGAGGGAGAGAAGAGGACAAGTGAAGGCGGGGCCCGAACACAGGGAGGGACACCAAGATGTGAGGAAGGGCAGCTGAGGGCTCTCCCAGGTGGCAGGGGCTCCTGAGGGGGCACCGACAGAGACAGGGACGTGAGGGAGGGTCAGAGGTCGTGGAGCCGCCGTGGGCACCGTGGAGGGTTCTCAGAGAGGAGGTGGGAGTGGCTCTACAGGAGAGGTGAGGGTGCGGGCCGGGGTGCCTTCCACACCACCAAGCGGGAATGAGCCAGGCACAGGCTGGCGCTTCTGGGTCCTTCTCGACCTTTGCCCCTTGGCCCCCCGTCTCCCAAAGCCAGTGACAAGGACCAGAGCTGAGCTGGGCTTGTGTGGGGTCGCAGGCAGGTGGGGCGGGCGTCTGTCGAGGGGCGGGGGGGGGGCAGCAGGAGGGCAGTGGCTTGTGGAGTGGCACCTTTCAGAACCGGGAGGCGAGAGGCGGGTTCGGGAAAACGAGGGGCCCTGTGCTCCCCCCTCACGTGGCCCTGCCAACACCCGGGACAAAGGTCTAATTCCAGGCCTCACAGAGCTGGAAACTATACACGTTTTAACCGCCCTGCGCCTCCCCCGAGGGAGCTCCCCCTGTTATAAAAGGACCCCATCTTCTTTGCAAAAATCCCCCTCAGCCCATTGCGCCTCGGCTGACCGGCCTCCTACCCATGTCCCCGAGTCACTTCCACGCGTGGGAGACACCACCACCCAACCAAACAGGATAGCACGCCAGAGAGTCCTCTGCCCCCCCCCCCGCCCCGCACCCGCACCCCCCCCCGCCCCGCACCCACACCCACCGCCCCTCACCCGCCCCCTCCGCCCCTCCGCCCCGCACCCACACCCCCCGCCCCTCACCCGCCCCCTCCACCCCCCTCCCGCCCCGCACCCACACCCCCCGCCCCTCACCCGCCCCCTCCGCCCCCCTCCCGCCCCGCACCCACACCCCCCGCCCCTCACCCGCACCCCCCCCCGCCCCGCACCCACACACCCCCCCCGCCCCTCACCCGCACCCCCGCCCCTCACCCGCACCCCCCCCGCCCCTCACCCGCACCCCCCCGCCCCTCACCCGCCCCCTCCGCCCCCCCCGCCCCGCACCCACACCCCCCGCCCCTCACCCGCCCCCCCGCCCCCCCGCCCCGCACCCACACCCCCCGCCCCTCACCCGCCCCCTCCGCCCCCCCGCCCCGCACCCACACCCCCCCGCCCCTCACCCGCCCCCACCCGCCCCTCCCCCGCCCCCCACCCACACCCCCCCAGTACTGCCCCATCAGAGGCCGCTGGGTGCCTCTTCACTGTCCTGCGCGTCTCCGCATGGGCGCTATTTCCAGACACGCAAAGCCTTTACACACACACACACACACATACACACACACACTGCGTGGACGCGCCCTGTGGCCAGGCCCCGGGCGAGAGCTGGAGGCACAGGAGCTGGCACTTCCCCAGAAGAGTCACCTAGTCGGTGGCAAAGAAACATTTCAGCAACACATGAGCCCGGGACCCGGGCCCTGTTCCTGCAGTGACGGCCAGACCACCCTGCTCACCGCCCTCCCTGCTCACCGCCCTCCCTGCTCACCGCCCTCCCTGCTCACCGCCCCCCCTGCTCACCGCCCTCCCTGCTCACCGCCCCCCGTGCTCACCGCCCTCCCTGCTCACCGCCCCCCCTGCTCACCGCCCCCCCTGCTCACCGCGCCCCCTGCTCACCGCCCCTCCCTGCTCACCGCCCCTCCCTGCTCACCGCCCCCCCCTGCTCACCGTCCCCCCCTGCTCACCGTCCCCCCCTGCTCACCGCCCCCCCTGCTCACCGCCCCCCCTGCTCACCGTCCCCCCCTGCTCACCGTCCCCCCCTGCTCACCGCCCCCCCTGCTCACCGTCCCCCCCTGCTCACCGTCCCCCCCTGCTCACCGCCCCCCCTGCTCACCGCCCCCCCTGCTCACCGCCCCCCCCCGCTCACCGCCCCCCCCCGCTCACCGCCCCGTCCCCCCCTGCTCACCGCCCCCCCTGCTCACCGCCCCCCCTGCTCACCGCCCCCCCTGCTCACCGCCCCCCCCCGCTCACCGCCCCCCCCCCGCTCACCGCCCCCCCCCCCCCCCCCGCTCACCGCCCCCCCCTGCTCACCGCCCTCCCTGCTCACCGCCTTCCCTGCTCACCGCCCTCCCGGGCCCGCAGGCTGACTCTCCTCCCGGCTGGCCGGCTGCCGCAGCGCCCCAGTGAGGCCCTGCCCTGGCCGCTCTGCCCACGAGTCCTGCAGGAACAGCTAACGCCCGCCCGGAAGAAGACAGGAAGGGGCGCTGCCCTGGTCCCCAGGAGCCTGGCACTCGGGTGCTTCCCTCCAGGGACCCGCTCCCGGGGTGGGGATGCATGGGGTGGTCACCTGATCTGTGGGAACCACCTTCCTCACCGTGGACACCGTTTCTGGGGATCCACATGTGACCTGCTTCCCAGCAACCCCAAAGCCCCCTGTGCCAGTCTGAGGGGCTGGAGCAGCGAGCGCCATGGGACCCGGTTCTCTCGCTCTGAGCCTCACGCACTGGCTATGAAGTGCCATGTGAGACAAAGGGACACACGAGGACACAGGACACCGGACCCCCAAGGCTTGAATCAGCCCTGAGTGCACCTGAGACTCCCCTCACACCGGCAGCCCTGCTCCTGTGCTGTCCACGGACACGGCCCCAGGCCGGGGAGGGGGGTGTGTAAACTGTGTGCCCTCCAGAGGCCAGGGCGCAGCGGCCACAGGAGGCGCCTACCTGTAGATGGGGTCCTGCATCACCAGCATCTTGGTCTCGTCCCACGTCCACTCCTTCTTCTGCAACAAGAAAAACTGTAATGAATAAGCCAGGCTTGTCCTCGGCCAAGACCAGGCCCACATCGGCCACAGATGTTCCCGGACCACGTGTGCTCGAGAGGACACGTGAGGTCCAGGCCTGTCTCACCCGCCCCTCAGCCCTTCGGGCGTCTGTCCCGGTGCAGGGGCGGCTCTCAGTCAGGACGTCACGGAGAGGCGGGGGCGAGGGACGCCGTTGAGTGGCCGGAGACGCAGACCCTCCCTCCTCTCTCTAAGGTGGGGGGGGGGGGCTGGGCGCTGGGAGGGAGCCTGCAGCACCGCAGGGGTGCTCACTGCGCCGTGACACAGGGGCCCTGAGCTGCTGGGGAGCAGCCCCGGATTGGGGTCGGGGGCAGGGACACCCCAGGTCTTGATGTGTGGGGAGCACCCGATGTGATGGGGAAGCACTGGCTGCCACCCCCACGTGGGACCGAGCCCCGCCCCGCCTCAGAGGCAGCGCCATCCAGGCAGCTGGAGGAACACGCTCTCTCCCGAGATGAGAGCGCGGAGGGCGGCGTGGCCGAGGCCATAGCGCTGCCCTGACGCTGTCAGCACGTGGGCACCCCAGAGCCGTGCCCGGGCGCCTCAGGCCTGGGGAGACGGGGCCCACCGGGCACTGGGCACCAGCAAGAACCACTCGCAGCAGCTTCACTCACACACGATGCTGCCCACACCTGGCACGAACCCACACGCAGAGAGGCACACACACACACACACACACACACGCACACACACGCCACTGCATCCCTGAACGTGGACTCCATACCAACCCAGCCCCCGAGGGGTACGTGTGTGCCTTTGGCATCAAGCCCAACTCCGCAGACACTGAGGCCCAGCTCAGCTGAGACGGCGGTTTGCCCCGAAGCTGCCTTGGGACGGGCTGTTTTTGCTTTCGGTTCCCCCTCACCAGAGAGTGTTTTTCCACTGATTTTTAGAGAGTGGAAGGGAGGGGGAGACAGAGACATCGATGTGAGAGAGACACATCGATTGGTTGGGCTGGGGATCGAGTCTGCCACCGAGGTACATGCCTTGAACAGAATCGAACCCAGGACCCTTCATCCCGCAGGCGGACGCTCTATCCACTGAGCCACACCAGCCAGAGCCTGAAAGGTTTGGACCACAGGGAGCAAACGTGGAAACGAGGAGACTAAACCATTTTCTAAGAGCAACCCTCCAGATGCACGGGTACAGCCGCCCAGAACGCCTCCACACCAGGCTGCACCCACAGCCTGGCTCTGACTGCACCCCAACAGGGTCACTGGGTCTCATCCCAGGGAACAGGGACAGCTGATGTCCCCGCCCCTCCTGGCCTCAGTCCAGGACACAGGCGGCTTGGGATGCGCAGGCCCAGGCTGTCACCTGGAGGCCAGCGGACGGAGGCCGACTGCTGTGAGCGCGCTCCCGCCAGCCCGGGACCTCGGCGAGGACAGGCAGGACCCACACTCCCAAGGCCCCTCCCCGCCTGGCGTCCAGGCCGGATCCGGGCAGACCTGTTGGATCACTGGCTCCGGCCAGTGGAGGTGGAGCCGGGAGGCAGCGTACGGAGTTTCACGGGTGTCTCAGGCCCTGCTCCCGGCCCCACCTTCATCCACCTGGTGACGGGGCACCTGTGCGGGTGCCGTGTGCATGCGCGGGCGGGAAAGGTGACCCCACGTGAGAACCAGGGCCTCGGTCCCACGGTGGAGGGTCGCACGCCCTGCAGCCTGTGCATGGAATGGATCCGCTCTCCATAAACAGTGAGTCTGTTCTACGTCTCTCCTATCACTTCCCGGCTCGCAGCCCGAAACTCTTCCCAGAAGCCCTAGGAGTGTGAAGAGTGCGAGAGGCAAGCCTGGCTTCCTGACAGAGACCCTCTCAACGCCCGCTGTCCGGGGGCCGGGCCCTCGGCGCAGGGCGGCCGGCAGGAGGGCAGAGGAGACAGTCCCTGGGCTGAGACGGCCACCCTGGAGCCCCTCGGCCCCGCTGCCCAGGCCTCTGCTGCCCAGCGGGACCCGCTCAGGGGCCTCAGTCCCAGCTGTCGTGGACACAGTCAGGATGCTGGCAGCTCCGGAGGCCCCCGGCCTGAGTGACGGTGCCTCCGGCATCAGGTACGGGAATATAGGTGGGAAGACCTCTCCCAGGCCTCACAGCCAAGCCTTCGCGCGCCCCCCCGCACCCCAGCCTGTCCCACCCCCACGCCAGTCCTCCCAAAGCCCCACACAAGACAGCCGTGGGCGGGACCACACGCCCATACACAGGTCAGCACGCGGAGGAGAGCCTGCTCCGGCCACCCTGCCCTGCGGCGGCGCCTGCCTCCCACCCGCTGAGCACGGAGGACCCAGGGCCCGGCTCAGCGGCGGCTGGAGCAGTGGCTGTGACAGGGAATGCACCACCCTCGCCCTCCCCCCCAGCCGGCCTATCCTCACAGGACTCGCTGTCCCCCACGAAGGCGGAGGTGTTGGTGTGTGCTGGGGGCGCGGGGAGGACAGCAGAGCACCGGCCACCAGGACACCGACACGGCTGACCTGCCCAGGTGCCGGAGCAGACCACCTGCAGAAGGAAGCGTCCATCCGGAGCGGGCCCACGGGAAGGGCCCAGTCCCTCCCCTCCTCCCGCTCCTGGCTCAGAGGTCCTACCTTTTTCTTCTTCAGAATCACTTTCACTCCGTCCACTGAAACCATGATGCTCACTTTCTTCTTCTTGATGTTCTTGGCTTTGAACTCGAACTGCGGGAGAGAAGGAACAGCAATGCAGACCATCCGACTCGTGACCGGACAGAGGCCACAGACGGCCTGGGGCCCGGTGCGGCCCCGGGACACGGACACTCTGGGTCAGAACAGGGTGACACTGGCTCACTGCTCAGCCCTCAGGCAGGACCGCGGATGGACCTGACCATCCTGCCCACGTGGACACTCTCCTCGGGCGCCAGAGCCGTCCCCAGCGATTCCGCCCGCGGTTTCACTTCCACTGTCCGCCAGGCGACTCGGGAAGAGCGGGGAGGACCAGCCTTCCCGGGCTGCACACAGGAAAGGTCATGAATTCCGTCTCTCTCTGCAGTTCCATTCCCAAGTCCTCATCTGCAGGTGGGTCTCCCACAGCTGTCACCCACAGCTAAAGGTCCGGGCGGAATCTTCAGAAACCTGACCAGCGACGGTCCTGCCTCAGCCCCGCCCTCTGAGCCCTCTAGGCACAGCCTAGCGCCCACACTGCAGATGGCGCGGTTCCACTCTGCCCACAGCTCGTCACAGTGCCTACTTCCTATGCTGTGCGCACACTCAGATCCGTGGCATAATTCTGCATTCTCTCACTGCACCTCCTTCTGAGACTTACCCATTTTCACCTGGTCCTCACCTTGGTGTGTCTACCTAACCAACGCACCTGCCAAACTCCCTAATGAGACATCTGGGTTACAGATTAAAATAATAAAACAGCCAACGCCGGTTTGGCTCAATGGATAGAGCGTCGGCTTGGGGACTGAAAGGTCCTGGGTTCGATTCCGGTCAAGGGCATGTACCTTGGTTGCGGGCATATCCCCAGTAGGGGGTGTGCAAGAGGCAGCTGATCGATGACTCTCTCTCATCAATGTTTCTAACTCTCTATCTCTCTCCCTTCCTCTCTGTACAAAATCAATAAAATATATTTTAAAATAAATAAAAATAATAATAATAAAACAGGTCCCAGAGCCATGGCCTGCACTGCAGCCCGCAGGCCCTCCTCCCCTGCCCTTCCCAACTGCCAGCACTCAGGTTGGTAAGAGGGCTCCGGCTTGTTGCCTGTGCCTCTAAGCCCTAATAATTTCCAGTTAGTGTGTTGATAGGAATGGACCTAGTGCCCCCACTGAGATAATCTCATGAGAAGCCCCATCCGCCCTGGGCTGTGACTCTTACTGCTGTGGCTTTACGAGCTCAGCTTTGTGCTTCCCACCCTGGCTCCAGACTATCCCAGCCACCTGTCTCCGCTGAACGGGCCAATGCTCGGCTGTGCCACCGTCTCCTCTACATCACTCTTCTTCCCCTTCCCTGGCAACAAAGTCCAGCAGCAGACAGAAGTGCAATACTGCAGGCCCCGCCACCCTCCTGGTCTTAGAAGCAGGTGCCCATGAACCAGGCCCTCGCCCGTCTTGATTTCCACAAGCCAGTGGTAACCCTCTTTGGCTGCCTCCCGCCAGTTCCATTGTCTCTAGGACCCTTTGTAAATCAAGATACCTCACCATGGCAAGGAAGAGGCTGGACCTGCCAGCTCCTCACCTGTGTACCTGAAACCTTAACTACTTCTATAGCTTGCATTTGGACAACTTGGCCAAATGTTTAAATACCCGCATCCTAAAAACTCAAAATGCAGCTAAAGCTCCTTTTGGAACCGGAAGCAGCTTGAAGGTGACTGTGTGCACGTTGGGTCTGTGGGGAGCGGGGACCCCGTGGGGAAGCACGACTGGAGGGCGCCCCGGAGTCCCAGGGACAGAGCTGCCCAGGAGTCCCTGCCTCACAGCCGGGGCGCCAGGCACAGCCTTCTGGCGGAGGGGCCACAGGAGGCCCAAGCAGCCTGGGCTCTCCGGCCGGACACGCAGCATCTACCCTACCTGCCAGGTGTCACCAACCCTCTCCAACCAAGGTGTGGTTCTGCTGCAAACCACAGAAGCAGAAGGAAATCGGTTTCTGAAAAGCCCTTTGCATTCAAACCCCATGCAGGACAGCCATGGCGCCTCCTTGGTAAGCAGGCTCTCTGCCACCAGGGGAAGGACCAGCGATGAGGTGAGGAAAGCAGAGCCAGGCTCTCGGGATGGCCCTCCCTCTTCCCAGCCTTGCTGCTCGGGGCAGGTGTGCTGGGAGGAAGCACCTGATCCCGCAGGAGAGGAGCTGGGTCAGCTCGGGATTGCTGGCAGAGTGCCACACTCGTCGGCTCAGGCAGCCTCGCCCGGAGCCAGTGCCAACAGTCTGCTCTCTCCCCGGGGCGGCCAGGCCGACCTCATGCACCCACTTTGCCAGCCCGAGCCCCACAGCAAGGACAGATAAAGCCTGCAGGGCCCAACCTGCAGGGACAACGACCAGGAAGACCAAGGCCACGGAGAACGTGGCTGGACGCCAGCGTCTCCCAGCTCCCCAGCTCCTTGTCCCCACCTCCCGGCCGCCACCCAGCCCTGGTGTCCCGCCCAGCCAGTGCTGGGACACAGCCCAGTGGCAGCTCCACAGGGAAGGCCAGGCCCTGGCCAGCCGTCAGGAGAGACTTCCCTGGTCACTGAGGCCCATTCACACTTCCCACCACTGCTTCCGTGGAAACCAAATCGCCACATTTTCAAAGGGAGTAGCCACGAGGGACAGACCTGCACGAGGCCCCTGGGCCACGCACCCTGGGGCCTGGGGACCCACAGGCTGGGTTTAGGGGCCTTCATTTCTTAGCAGAAAACACAATCACAAGTGCAGAAATCACAAATAGATGGAAATAAAGGCAAGTGTGACTCCTCTGCTCTGGAAAATCACTGCAGCCCGGTCCACATGCACATCCATGCTCCAACGCTTTCTAAATCCTTTCAAAGCCTTTGACTTCATGTACTTACATGCTGAGAACTTCACATAATTGCAAGTCAATGTTAGTGACGTTTGGCATTCAACTAAGAAAGAAAAGCAACCCAGATGCAATGATTTAGTGGGAAATTAATGCTTTGCATCTGTATACTGTAAATATAAATGACGATTTGTTTGAAATGTGTAACTTGGATATGCAAAAGATAATAACTCACAATGTTAATATTAAATATTCCTTCAAAAAAAAAAAAAAAATTCCACAGGAAAATAAAAGAACACCCCAGCGTGTGGCTACGGGATGAGGGAACCACGTTTTCAGAGTGGACACAGTGGGCAAAGCAGACGCACCAGAAGAACTGGAACAAGTCACGTTCACACAGCCACGGCAGCAAAAGCTCCGGACACGGACGCGGCCACTGGCGCTCCTCGGGCCCCGTCCCCAGAGCCTGAACCAGCTTGTCTCACGGAGACGCCCACACAGGCTCCACGTGCTATCGTCCACAGTCCGAATAGCGGCAACTCCGAACCAGCGTGGGCCTTTCTGGATGTGAGAGGGCCTCTCCGAAGACTGGACACACAGCCCCAGGCTGTCACACACACCAGCTCAAGGTGAGCGTCCGTGCGTGTGCTCGGCCACATGGGCCCCAGAGCCCGTCCCAGGCAGTATCCCCGAACCCTTGTGCCGCTGGCTGTCCCTTCCCGCCTGGGGAGAGTCCTGGGGAGACCACAAGGCTCACAGGTGGAGGGAAGGTCCCCAGGGGGCCACCAATGGTCACCTACACACCCACCCCCCAGACTCTTCCTCTGTCATCGACCTGCGTCAAACCCCAGGCTTTACCCCCGTCTCAGCACATGGCACACTTAGTGGGCACCCACCACCTCCACCTCACACTCAGGGGCACCCACCACCACCACCTCACACTCAGGGGCACCCACCACCACCACCTCACACTCAGGGGCACCCTCCACCGCCTCACACTCAGGGGCACCCTCCACCACCACCTCACACTCAGGGGCACCCACCACCACCACCTCACACTCAGGGGCACCCACCACCACCACCTCACACTCAGGGGCACCCTCCACCGCCTCACACTCAGGGGCACCCACCACCACCACCTCACACTCAGGGGCACCCTCCACCGCCTCACACTCAGGGGCACCCTCCACCACCGCCTCACACTCAGGGGCACCCTCCACCACCACCTCACACTCAGGGGCACCCTCCACCGTCTCACACTCAGGGGCACCCACCACCGCCACCTCACACTCAGGGGCACCCACCACCACCTCACACTCAGGGGCACCCATCACCATCTCACACTCAGGGGCACCCTCCACCGCCACCTCACACTCAGGGGCGCCCTCCACCACCGTCTCACACTCACGGGCACCCTCCACCACCACCTCACACTCAGGGGCACCCATCACCATCTCACACTCAGGGGCACCCTCCACCGCCTCACACTCGGGCAGGTAAGAGAGACGCGGAGGAGCGCCAACATCAGAACACCAGCTGTTGGGACGTCGCCTGTCCGGCCTGCAGCCGGCCTGCAGCCTCTCCATGCAGACCACGTGGGCCTGGCCTAGGGGCAGAGCCGCCTTGAGCTGAGAGGGAGCCGTGGATGGGGCGTGGGGACCACTGCAGTGTCCACCTGGGGACAAACAGGCAGGAAAGGAGCTGTGAGGGGAGCAGAGGCGGCCTCAGAGGGGAGAGGCAGACCAGATGGCACCCGATGCCTCCAGCGTCAGGCTGCACTGACTCAACTCTCCCAGCAGCACCCGCACCCATAGGGTCCAGGAGGGAGACCTGGAGTCAGTCTTCACCACAAGCATGCGAAAAGCAGGGAGATATGGTCCCTGAGCTCACAGCCACCGACTCGCGAGAAAGACAGGTGTGTGACCGTCCTGGCCCAGCGTCATAAACACTGAGATGAAGGGGACGGAGGGCAGAGACTGGCAGGGAGACCGGGAAGGGGTACAGAGGGCTGGGGGCTGGGCGCAGTGGCCCCCAGGCCCACCTGCAGAGTCCACGAGTGCAAAAAGCCCGCATCCTCAGGAAACGGGCGCGGGTGTGGTCAGGAATGCGCTGGAGGCAGCCAGGGGCAGAGCACAGCCAGCTCTGAAGCAACCAAAACAAGGCAATCGGCCTGGACAGAACGGACAGCTGCCTGTGTGAAACTCAGACAAAAGAGCACGGCCAG